GGCACGGACGAACAAAGCGCCGCATCGCCGATTGATCCCCCTCCCCAACTGAGTTTGCACCGAGAAGTGGACGAGTTATCATGGCACTGTCGATTTCAGGATATCACATTGGTGATTCTGCTCATATCAGCCCTGGTATCACTTGGTTTGTCATTCTACAAACCGCCTGAGAATGGTGGTGCAGGTAAACCAGCCCTTTACACACAATTCATAATTAATTCCCCAAGAACAACGCTATGAATAAACAATAAACAATAAACAATTGTTGTGACGCGGTTTTGAGCCACAATCTGATTTCTCCAATCTTTCTAGTGGTCGTGTTTGATGGGTGATCGGAGGAGGTGGGTAGAGAGTTGGGTTGGGTATCGGAGGAATTAGGAGATGATTAAAATTTTCTCATAGAAATTTTAAATGGTTCAGAAAGTTCCATAATTTTTTAGGAAATTCAGACAATTTGAAGATTTTAGTCTTGGTTACAGTTCTCACTGTGGTACGTTCGTCCACCTAATTCTCTCCCTCACCCCTCCAGCCTCCACTGTTTTGTTCAGGGAAGATCTACTGTAATTTTAGGTAAGATGGGAGGGTGAGTAGGTCAGGGATAGGACGATAGGGGGTTTTCGAACTCGAACGTGAGACAGATGGACGGTCTGATAGACGTGTTTTATACCAGACATCGCCGACGCGTGGCTCACCCTAGACTGAGGATAGACCAAAATGACAGATAGTGCACTATTTTGGGAGTTAGGAAAGAATAGGATTGGTTAAGAATCGAAGTCAATTAAAATTTTGACTAAGTACAGATTTTGGGTCAAAAAATGCGCCTTAAATCAAATTCATGTTTATGCTTTTTTGCGGTTTCAAGGTTTCTATTTAAACCTGTAATTGTCTCTGGTTCTGATACACTACCCGCATTTACGGCTGGTACCCCCCCAGGAGGCCCGTCGCGCGGCAAGAAGGCAAAGTCAGCGGACGAGTCGCGCGCGTACTATAGGGATTTCGCGTCAAGTTAAATAGAGTGTCCCACTGCACGTCCTACATCGCACACCACGCGCTGCAACTCGTCCGCCGACTCTGGTGTATAAGCCGTTTCTCCTCTGGGGTCAGGTCACCTAAAACTGAATCGCTCTTTCATTCGCTCGCGAGCCAGATTAAGACTAACCCTTGCGGCTCAACATAGCTTTAGCAGATAGCCAAGTGTTAAGTCATACTTAAAACCTTATAGTCCAGATCCAAACAACTTCAAAGCTTCGGGATCGCCGCACGTCGCTGACCGACCTGGACCCAGAGGAAAACGCAACGTCTCCCCCGCCGACTCGCCTTCTTGCCGCGCGACGGGCTCCTTGGGGTACCTTTACGCCACAGAGAGTTATTTTTTTTCACATTTTGAACTCGTTTGGGTAACTAGTGACGCTAACCATGCGTTCTCCTGACCCCACATAACCTTTGCTGGGAGTCAGCTAAAGTTAACGCTCTCAAAATGCCTCAAGGATTTATCCCTATTGAAAGAACGCCTCAAGTTTAAATGTCCTTTCAACAGTTACCTTCTGCTACCCCCTTTCACGTGCCTCTAAAATCCGGCGCCAACTCGCGGCGTGTAGCGAATATTTTTCAGGTCATGACGCACTCCAGAACATGGAGGCCGTGCTGGATCAAGGCGTCGCCATCCTGGTCCCGTCATTGTTTCGTACTTGTCACAGCCAGCTGAACATTGGTCGAAAGAAAGCATTCAGCAAGGTGAGCGCTTTCGCTGAGGATCATCCACAACGGCGGCCACGCCTCTTTAGTCTCCAATCGAAAATCGAAACCGAACACAAATTTTCGGTGATCAGAGGCGGTCAGCCTGTTGATATTGTCGTCAACGATCTGGTCGTTGGAGATGTCGCTCGAGTAAAATACGGTAGGATCAGATTTTGGCTCCCTGAGCCAACTAAGGCTAGGTATGATCACATATTTCTTAAAAATTACTCCTTGAGCTTTCGAGCTTCTGTAGAAGTGATTCAAAAGTGAAATGGCATGAGCTATCAAATTTGCCATCAATAGCATTTAAGTCATGCCCGGTATAATCGACCCCCAAAATCTATAAACACCGTTAATGATTTTGAGATGCTTGCAGGCTGATTGCATGCCAGCTGAGGCCCTGGTGATCCAATCGAATGATCTGAAAATCGATGAGTCATCGTTAACTGGCGAATCAGATCTGATCCGGAAGAGCTTCGATCATGATCCTGTATTGCTCTCAGGCACCAACGCCATGGAAGGCAGTGGACGGTACGGTATCGATTGATTTGTTTTGTAAAATTAAAATACTCCGACAAATTTGAACGCATGCAATGTCCACGTGTTGACTTATTGTTAGGACAGTGAGTAACGGGATATGCACGCGTTAGAGATGGCATTTCCAAACCAGTAAACAAAAAAATTCACATCCAAGTCCCATGCGAACGATGTTGTGGTACGAATGGTCCGTCAACCAAATGGGTCCAAGAAACGGATTATTTTTTTATTTAAATTCCTAATTTGATACAATATATAAAAATATTATAAAACACAATAGGATTTTGACTGCTAGATTTTGAATTGCAATTTTAGTTTTCATAGATTTGTACATATTTTAATGTGGCTTATATTTAATTATGGGTAATATTATATTTCTCGAGTATAGCTTCACCACCAAAGCACAATAGCCAAATAGTGACAAGGGTGAATATCGATTTATTGATTTTTCCGATAACTGTGCGATATTTACAGGTTTCTCATCACCGCTGTCGGTCTGAACAGTCAGACGGGTATCATCATGAGCCTTCTTGGTGCCACGAAAGATGAGAAAAAGGATGACCAAGAGAGTAAGGTTCAGATGAACGGAAATGGTGAGCCTATTTTTGTCGGGTTTTGCAGCATATTTTGAGCTCCACAATTCATTAGGTTAAAATTCAGGTCATGCGCCGAATCTGACCGTAGCCAATGGTTTGACAAATGGCGAGAAGAAGAAGGAAGAAGAAGTTGCTGTTGTTGAGGAAGAGCCTAATAAAGGAAAATCTGTACTTCAAGCAAAACTGTCCAATCTAGCCATACAAATCGGGTACATAGGTAAGCCTTGGTGTTACTTTAGTACCGAATTTTCAGTGCCCCTTGATTTTTTAAGGCTATAATTAACAGCAGTCACGAGGGCCAAAATCCAGCCTTATTTGGAACTCTATAATTTGATCACTTCAGTACTTGAGCGCTGCAATCCCAAGGTCTTAAATAACCCGCGCGCGGTCGCGTAGCGTCCGTCCTGGAAGAGCAACTCAGCAGCGTTGATTCGGAAGCTGGCATAGAATTCTATTCATGTTCACTATTTCAAAGAAAATTTATGTGGCCTGCTCATTGCCTCTCGATTTGCAATAACGGCGTTCCATGTGGCATGCGCGAAACTCGACCGCTTCGTGACCGCACCGCATAAGTGTCACTAATCTGAGCAATTGCCAATCATTAGAGAGTTTTTGAATTTTCTTGGTAAATTTTACCGCTCACACATTTTATTCTCAATAGATTGAGGAAATACTAGGAAATCAGACACTATGTAATTCTGCAAAGGACTTTTCGACATGGTTCCTGGTTTGTAGCAAGAGTTTCCGGGTTTTCTTTGCGAGCGGTTGCGTCGCGGATCAGAGAACAAATAGCTTAATGTAGGTGGAATTAACTGCGATTGTTTCTGGGCATTAGCTTATTGATAAACCTGCCATTTGATTTGTTAATTAGGATTGAGTTGGCCGTTTCGCAACCGCACGCGTTTGTAACGCAGTATCTGCACTAAGGATGTACTTTAGGGGTTACCGTACAAGAGCTTGCATGACGTGAGCTTCTAAAAAGTTTTGAAGCTCCTAATTTGTGCTCATTTGAGCTGGTTGCATGATCATTAAGCGTATTTGATCCGCTTTTGAATTATTTCCTGCAATTTAAATCACCTATTTTTCTCTGACTGATTCATTCTTTCTCATTAAAGGTTCTATTGTGGCGGCGGCTACCGTACTGATTCTCATCATTCGCCATTGTATTACACATTATGCCGTCAATAAGGAGACATTTAAGGTACGATAGAAAACGTTTTCTGTATATTTCCTTTCCTTCAAATCATGTTTGGTATATTAGCATAGGATGGGGACGCGCATTGCTGTTGGTTTTTCGGGCGCTATCGCAAGATACGAGGAACATCTCCCAGGAGTATGCCCAGGAGGAGACAGGAGCTCTGGGGGAAATGACTCACGCACCATGGAGCTACCCCGTTACTCCCAAAAAACCTGCTTGTTTTTCCGTCCTATTTTTTTTACAAAACTTAAACTGCTCTTCGTTTACGATTTTGGTAATTGATATCCGAACATTTCCATTTTCAGACTTCCGATTTGGCCTACTTTGTGAACTTCATTATCATCGGTGTCACAGTGCTCGTCATTGCCGTTCCTGAAGGTCTTCCATTAGCTATCACATTGGCACTTACGTACTCCGTGAAAAAGGTGATTTGTTTCCTGATTAATTTTGAACC